CCGCTTGATGGAAACTTTTTCTTGATGTCCACTGGATATTAAGCAATTTAATGACTTGATGAGCAAGAACAAGGTGATTGCAGAAGTACTCTCAGCCAGCTAAAACTGAGTATGCAGCTCATTTTGCTGCTCTGCATTCTGTCTAAATGGAGCATTTAATTATAGGCATGGCATCTGGGAGGAGTTCTTTTGGCTTACAGTGGATGCCTGATAATGCATCTGGAGTTTTTGTCTTCTGCCCTGAACAGATGCATCTTGTATTGAATGCTGTAGCAAAGACTTTGCCTGAGGGTTTGCCTGAACAGTGTAGTAGTTCGTATCCCAATGCATAAGACAAGACCTTCGGGGAGCAAACCTAGCCCGGGTATCTATTGCTGAAGTCTGCGAGAAGGATCCACGACTTGCACGCAGCTTGGAGTGCAGTGCTTTCTCAGTGGCTAATGAAAGGGGTTTTGGCCAAGACTCTGGCTGTCTTTCCTCTTGCTTTTGTGAGGGTTGTCGCAGTCTGCCTGGGCCTCCCAATGTCAATCACATTTACACAACCAGTGTTGTCAGAGGTTACTTGAGGAGAGATTCTTCCTTTCTGCTGCCTGTACTTCTGTCTCCTTCAAGATCACATGCACATATGGATACAGTTTCCAGTTACAGTTTTGACATTTAAATCTGTTAATGAGTCTTAAGCTGCTTCTTGTGCTACTGTTGTTGCTGTCATCTCTGTATCTTCTCTACTGGAATGGGTCTTGTGATGTTTGCAAGCTTTTTCTTGCTTAGTCTCTTCTTGAAGGGCACCCAAAATAGTGTTAAATACTTCTGAAATGGCTCCACTGTATTTTTCTAGTATGTCTTCAGGCCTGTTAAGAAATTTTCCTTTTTTTTTTTTTTTTTTTCAAGATACTTTGAATAGAGCCTATGTTAGATAGAGTCCTAAGAAACAGAGCTGTTTACTATGACTCCTGTGTTGCCTCCTGGAAGGCTAGTTAACTACTGAACATCTGCAGCTTCCTACCAGGGACACACAGCAATGTCTGATCAGCAGCATCTTCGTGGCTGTAGACTGCAAACATGAGAAATCCAGTATGACTTCTGAGGAAAGGCTAATTTACTGAAGTCATTTGAAAGTCCTGCTGATTCCTGGTTTTCTGTCTCCTGTGCCCATAATTGGCCTGGGCAATGCATGCCTGTTTGTATCTCACAACACAAATGCTTTATTTCTCTGCTAAAGGTTATGCTGTTTAACCAATTAATTGTTTAATCCTGACAGACTAGATTTAGCAGTGGCAGCTCTTGGATTTTAAGAAGATGCAGCACACTGACTTTGTAAATGTAATATCTAGTTTTTCCTATTTTAACATATGATAACATTTAAACAGCCAGTCAGGCTTATGGGATTTTAAATACCAGATGGGAATTTTATATTCCCTGTATAGTGTATCATATCTAGTAAATCCTGAAAGAAGTGCTGGCTTACTCAAAGGGGACTTGCACTTTTTAGCTCACAAACAATTGTCCATTCATTTCTCTTGCTACTGTTAAAATTCTCATTATCACCCCTGTCCCATCACCACCCTAAGTCTCGACCATGTCCAGCATGTCTGCTTATCACTTCTATGCCACTCTTTTTTAGGAGCAAGATGCTATGTTCTTCTTTTTTTTGCACTATGGTAGGAGCTAAACTTAACAACAAATGGCAGTAAGGAACTGACTGTGCCCAGATCAAGATTTTTGTGCTCTCAAGCATTTTAATATAAATACCATTATTTTCAAAATAAATAAGGTCTTTCGAGTCTTTACTCTGCATTAGAAAAACAGCAGTATAAGGCCCAAGCAGATTACAAGCCAAACAAATTTTTTAAAATACTGATGATGGACTTCTGACACTCTCACATGTAAGTCTATTCTGTTTTGTGTTCTGTTATCTGTTATGCTTTACAAGCAGCACAGAACTGAACCTAAAGTAGTCAAGAGATAAAGTAACTCTCAGGTTCTCCTAAATGACAACTTAGCTGCAGCACCTGCTGCGTATCCAGCTCTTATGTGTCAACTGCTACTTCTAGTCTGCGGCGGGAAGAGAAATAATCTGTTTTGAATGAAATGACTCTTTGAGATAGATAGTGTCAGTAGTAGAGATGCTGAGGCACATGTGAGAGTAAACATGTACAGTCCAGTATAAGAGCTCATTAGATAGTTGCAATAGTTGTTGATCAGCGCAACTTTCATATTTTCAGGCTTTAGCTAAAGATCTGCATCTCCTTTTAGTAAGGATATTGCTTAACATGGTGGGAAAATTATGGATCAGAATTTTGATATGATTGGAACCCCAAAAGTCATATTAACTTAGATTTGAACATGTTTAGATGTGAAAATGTTGTTTTAATTTTTAAAATTAAGCATTTAAAATGCTTTTAAATACTTCAATATTTCTTGTTTTTGACTTCTTACCGTGATTAGAAATGTAAACACTGAATAGGTGGAGAAAGAGTGCTTGTTCACTTGACATTTACAGCTCACTATTGCAGTCTCAGAAATTAAGATGCTCATCTGAGCTCCAAACCTTTAAATATTTGCTTTTGTCTTCTAAAGTATAAGGACATTCCTTTGAAAATACCAGATCACATAAACTGCATAATTAGCACTGAACTCCCTGTATAAAGAAGAGCAGCCTGTTCCTCATGATAAATCTACTGCATAGCCATTAAGTTATTATAGTATTGTACAGTTAAGCGATTAAAATAAAAATGAAACTCACATTATCTGACATTTTCAAATTGTGGTTTTGATGGACAATACAAAAACAGGAATAGTGAAAGAAGAGTTTTATATTCCTCTCATTTCACTGACCTTCTTCCTTATTTCTAGCTTTTCTCCTCGAATATCAAAAGATCTAGTGTAAGAAAGGATGACAGGAAGCATATCTGACAAAACTATCTCTTAAGTCTTGTTGAATAAAACATTGGGTGGAAATGCTTTTAGCACCAGCAGGTTAGCATTAGAAGTGTAATGGTTTTAAAGGAAGCCTAAACACCCCTCTGACAAACGGCAGATTTTAAAATTAAGATTTGAGATAAAGATGCTGCTGAAGTTATCAAAAGAAACATACCCAGCAGTTGTCCAATGCATATGGTCATGACAATACTATTTGTCTGCCAGAAAATCACCTGCATTGGTGATCTAACGCCTACGATGCTGGCACACGTTATGTAGAGAAGCAGCCCTGATTGTATTGTCAGTCACACAGCCAGGGTTCTTGTCCTTCTCTTTTGTACAAAAAGTTCACCCTTCAAACTTCTCTAGCATAGTTAGAGGGGCCAGTTTGTCTGAGCTTTGAATTAACAGTTGTTTCCATTTGCTTGAAAAATAAACCAGGAAAAAAAACAGCCTATAAAAGCTATTTTATTTTGCCTATTTGTTTTCAGTAATAACCATGCTAAATACTAAAAGTACTGAAGGCTTATATTTTAGCTAAGCTAGTCTGGAAAAAATTCTCAAAACTACACTTACATGTTGAAACTTAATATAAGAGCGTAAATTCTAGGCAATTACTTGGACATAATTGCACATGCTTCCCACACGGGGTTTTCGCGTGCCAGATTTGAAAAACCACGGACACGGTACTAGCTGAAGTTGACTTCTGCTGTGAACTAGTCAGTGTGTTTGCGCATCTTTTCTAGCATTCTCCAGCCTCCCCAAAGCCACCCTGCCATGGCACGTTGTTTCCTTCAACCTCTGATGCCATCAGAAGAGCCTATTTTTTACAGGTAATTATGAATGCAGAATTCTTTTTCTGTGTTTTACATAATATGTTCAGTTACTTTGAATTGCTATTAGTATTTTTCCAAATTGAATTGAGGAATATAGATTTTGTGATGCTATATTCAGACATTTAAAATGCAAGACGACCAATATGGGTTTCTTGCTGTTAGTTATTGCTCAGGCAGTATTCAAGGAGGATCGAGGTCAGTGGAATGGGAATGAAGGTCTCATCACTCCACTCATTTTATGTTTCTCTTGCAAAGGTTATCTTTCTGGGAATCATTTTTCCTCAACTTTCAAAAAGAGATATCAATAGAACTTGGAATTTTGACTGTAGACTTCCAAAAATCTATGTTTAAAAGTGTGAAATTAAGTTCAGTCATCAGGCAATACTGACCGAAAGTGTCTTTTGTTTGGTCAAAGCTTCAAGATAAACAGAACATTGATCAAGTTGATAGATACAGTTTTAGATTTAGAATTCTTTTAAAACTTCAAAAGAAAATGCCTCATTTTATCCTTAAAATATCTGGTATCAGGTAATTATCTAAAAGTTGGGCTATTTCTTATTCAAAGACATTTCTGGTCTTATTATCCTTATACAGACACAACTCCCATTGGAATCATCCTGAACTTTGCTTCTGTGACTAGTTTGGGTTTGAATGAGACGCTGAGATTTCCAGGAGGCTCATTGTTAAAGCTTTTTATGCTTTGCTGTATCTTCTATTCCACTCCTTCTTTATTGTAGCAAAACTACTGCCCAGTTTTCTTTTGTTTCAAAAATCTATTCATTCTTTTTTAAAAGAACAAAAATAGAGGGGGAAAAAAAATCTCTGTATCAAAGGAAATCAGCATTTGTATCTCAGGGAATACTTCCTTGAAAAACTGCAATGTAGTAAAACCTGAGATATATTCTGGGTGGACTGCAGTGTATATATTTTGGCCCAATCTGTTTTAAGCAAGTCCATTAACAAGAATGTAATTCGTTTGACTTTCACATTGGTATAAAGCAGCAGGCAAATTAACTAGATGCTGAGTATATTTAAATTATAATTTCTTCTGGCAGTAGATCATACGGTGAAATAATTTTTCCAGAGATCTCACTCCCTGTCTTCTAACAACCTGCTGTTTCTTGCCACTGTTGTCATCAGAATGTTCTTACAGGCTAAAATATACTTTATTTAGTCTGCTTTATTTAGCAGACATTAGCCAATAAGGAGATGCAAAAGTTGCTACAATAAATGCTCCCTATCATGGAGGAGTCTGTACGCGTAGGATTTCCAGAGTGCAACAAACTTCATCCAGTGCACCAGATATCCCTGGGAACACTTTAGAGAAAATGAAACAACCCCTATGCACTGAGTGAATTCATTCAAATAAGTGAGAACAGACAAAAGTGTATAGTTGTGAGAACACAGCTTCACCTTTAATGTCATCCTTGCATGGAAGATGAGCTTGGAAAATAAATTCTTAAGAATCTTGAGTACAAATAATATATTCAATAGATATTGTTTTTTATGACACGTTGCAGTTTCCTGTGTAAGACACGCTTGGTGTTCCAAGGACAATAATTAATTGGTTATCTGTCAACCTCATCCCACAGGACCTAATCATCTCCCTTTTTGCTGACGTTCTCTTCTTCTCCAAAGGTGCTTTTTCTTTCAAATTTTATAAATCATTACCATAATTAATTTAAACATGGAGATTTGTTTGCAAGCTGCCCTTAGCCTGAAGTCTGTCGTTTCTTTTTTCAGGCCTTGCTGGTTTTGCATGCCTAAAACCGTGTCTGTTCTTTTGCCTGCTGTATAATATTGCCTCACAAAAAGTGCCGCCTCTCCCTACAAACTGAGTCTTAGTTAGAAAATTCATTAATTAGTTCACATTATCTTTCTTACCTTGCATATTTCCCTCTCTACTTACAGTTTTATGTAATTTTCTTTGCTTGGCTTTGATTTTTTTTTTCATGAGACGTGAGCTTTTCAGTTCAAGTATATAACTTGATTTCATAAGATCTCATTTGATACGATACTGGCAGGTAGTAAGGACATAAATAGTAGAAATAATCGTCCATAAATGCTGATTAATGCAAATATATCTCCAGTACTTATTTAGAGCATTTTCTTTCAAATTTTCTGTTTTGATCTAAAAGTTCTCTTTGTATTAGACTCTTGCTCATGCAGCCTGTGAAGTTAAGCACTGAAAGTTCTACTGCTGCCAGGGAGTCAAGGAGAGATGTGTCACCAGCTAAAAGTCAAGCTGATCGTTTTTAGTTGCTACTGGCTACTAATTTGATGACCCTCCATATAGGACAGGTGTAATAAGACGTTTGTTTAATGTTCCTTGGATTCCAGATGTCCTTGCCATGTCTGAACAGAGCACTGACGTTTCTGTCATCAAGTTTTAGTTTAGAATCTCAAACTTGAGGTAGTTTGAAAGAAACGATTTTGTGAACTTTATGATGATGATTAAAGAGAAAAGAAGTTCTACTTTCTCCAGAACGTTAATGACAGACCAGATGACACATCTTCCACATAAGAAATAAGATTAAGCACTTTGAAAGCCAAGGCATTTCAATAGAAGTGAAATTGAGGTTTTCAGAGCAGACTATCCAATCACCTCACATAGCAAGCAAATCACTCTGCTTAGTGATTTTATAACATAGAATGGTTTTGGAGTGCTATCGCAAACTTTGTATCATCCTCAAGCACAAACCACCATACACTTGCTATAGAAATGATCTTATTAGGGACAGCTGTACAAATGACAAATCTGCACATAGATTGCCAAATAAAGTAATACAAATTCCTTGCAGTAGCTGTGCTTTTTAAACCTTTCAATTTTGTGAAATACACTTCTCTAATGATGCTCGTGTTGTTGTTCCAATAATAGATTACATCCAATCACTTCAGGATTTTGAAGCTAGTCTGGAAAAACATCAGAAAATGTGATTTATCATGCACTTGCAGTCAGCTGTAGTGAGTCAGCTGAGAAGCATTGCCTCCTTCTACAATCTTTTGGACCGTTTTTACCATTTGGTCATGAAGTTGGGAAGAGAGATGCCAGGCCGCTCCACACTTCTTACAACTCTGCTGGTGATGTTTGCTATCTCTGTCAAAGGGGGAATAGAACGATGTTTATCTTCTTAATAATCAAAATTGGAGTCCTACTTCATCAAATTGCAACCTGTTTTTGAACCTCAAACCAATTAGAACTATACTGGAGCAAAATTCAGCAAGCACCAAAATTCAGAACACATCTCACCAAGTGTTCTTCACAAGCCACTAAACCACTGGGTACCTGTTTCTTTTAAACCTTCTGATAAAGAAATAATGACATGTCAGCATACAACATCATTTAAAGTCCAGGCTTGAGATGTAACTTTTCATATTTTTAAAGTTTTCATATTTTAAAAATCTTTGTGTTCCTTTGCAGAGCCAGGCAATTTTGCAGGATGGGGAGAAAGAAGGGTATGACTACGTAGTTAATTGTTGTTACTTTCCAACTCGCTAGTAAGAGTCATTGTTTTTCAGAATATAAAATGAGACTTGTTTTTTGGTGAAGGCTACGAAGTTGGAGACTTGTGGAAGCTGTGGACTATGTTTATTTAGTGTTTCTCCGACAGACCTGTACTTCCTCATTTCCTCTTCATTGCCAGCCACAACCATGTGGCTCCAGCAGAGGGTGGGCAGGGAAAGCTTAATCTCTGCCAGCAAAATGCTCTTTTGCCCTAACCAGTAGAGGTTGTGTCTGCTGTTTGACTTACCCTTATTGTGACCTGCCTTATTCCTCTGATTCTGAGGAAAATGGGTCTAAATTCTGCATATATTATCTAAAGCACTTTGAACGTTTGTTTCACATTATTGCTGGAGCCTTACTTATCAGCTGTTTTTAATCCTCTGCAAACATGGTTTAATAGAAAGCATAGGGAAGAGAACAAAGTAATCTAAATCTCTGTGTGGATTTACGTCAGTGATGGTAGTACAGGCAAAGGAAAATCCCCCCCAGGCTGTGGATCCCCAGCTACAGGACTTGCCTTGTGCACGTGTGAGCAGCAAGAGCTGTCAAGTCTGCAGGTACCCTCTGCACCACCGCCACTGGCTCACAGAGCAGAAATTATCTTTGCTTTGAGCCCCTCCTAAAGTTTGGTTCCCAAACAGGTCTTCACCCTGCAGTGACTAAGAAGTGTGGTGAGAGGAATGACTCGTTCCTTGCTTGTCCTCATTCTCAGGCTGAGCTCTCCTGTGCCCTTGTTGGAGAGCACCAGCTAAATAGGTATCCGTGTGGGGAAGGGAGAGGGATGTTCCCTTTGAGTGGCTTTTTTCAGATTTCCCATCGCTAAAGCCTGACAGAGACTTCATTATTTAGGATTACTGTAATTTTGTGTTGCCAAGTTGCAATGCAAAAATGCCTGTGCAGATATTTTTGTACGTTTACAGTATTGTCTGGCTGTTGGGGGCTTTGTAAAGATGGAACTTGTGAATTCTGAGTGATTTTACGAAACCATTGTGTCGTGAATCCTTTCCTACGGATGTGATCTGCGATACACTGTTAAGGCAGCGTCGTGCACCTCTCAGAGCAGGACTGAGGGCTGGGTGAGGAAGAGGCGAAATGGCTGCGCATGCTCTTCAGAACATGGGTGTGGGGATGTGAAAATTCAACATCTAAAGACTCCCTGCAGAGCTTAAAGCAGTGATATCCTGGAGTTGCAGCAAGGCTAAATTCCACTCATTATTTAATATTCTAACATTTGCTTTGAAATGCTGCTTTATTGGTTAATCATATATCCTGCCTTTATGTGTTCTCTCTATATAGAAAATGTTTTCAAAAAAGGTCATAAGATTTCCTTTTACATTACCTGATTTAAATTAAATGGTAGAACCATAACATGCCATCTTTAAACCTAAAGCACAGCACTGTGGTAGTGTATTATTATTTTTTATTAACTTGATAGTTTGATGAGTACCAAATGGAAATACTAACAAATGAAAAATACTAAAGCAAAACTTACACACAATATGTTATTCCTGCTCCTTTGAACAAATTTATCTTTATGCTCTAATATAACAGCATCAGCCTTGACCTCTCACTTGAAAATGTTGTCATTGTATTGTAAATAGCAAATATAGCATTCTTTATATGTAGCATAACTGCAGTTAGATTTGACTTGGTCTCATGCTGCCTTGTGTCACTGAAATCAATGAGGTTATGTGGTTAAGCGAGAGCAAAACATACTCCCTCCATTTAGGCTAAAATGGCAAATTACAGCCCTGAGTGCTTCTGGGAACACAGTGAAAGTTGCAATAAAATTTAATTATAATTTATGCATTGATCTGAAATAGGAAACCGAGCACTCAGGAATATTACAGAAAATTGCAGCTACTAGTGTTCAAATTTTGGGCCTATTTCTTCATTGCATCTTTATCACCTTGTTACAGATCATTACAGAACTTGAGATCTGGTACTGCTTCTCGCAGAAGAGGAAAGCAGTTTTCGGTCTAATGACCAAAGTAAAATAGTGTTGGACTTGTTTTTACCACAGATAATAATAAAAAAAAAATAGTTGAAGGGAGTAAAATTATTTGTGTAAGATTGTTTCTTTCTGAACACAGATATGGGCTGGAGTTAACAACGTTTCCTAACAAAATATCAGAACAGTGACATTATCATCATCATCATCATCATCATTATTTTAACTCAGAATTAAGAGACTTGTGATTTGCACAAGTCAGTACATATTCATCTGCATTAGATTAGCACACAAGACTTGGCTTTTTCCTATCTCAGCTTTTTCTGTTCATACTGTGGTACTCTCTCATGTCACACATTGAAAAAAATATGGAAGATGATATCCTCGGAGGCTAACACTCCGTCCAAGTGTGAAAAATCACTTACGTATGCGTTCTAAAGACCAGCTTATTAGGGTATCTAATACCTTTTTTTTTTTTTTTCCCCAGAAGTACAGAGCACTAGCAGCAGTTGTGATTTATCAGGTATTCTGAAGAAGGAACTAGTTTCTTGAACCCACTAGACCTGTCTGTCCTGGGTCAGAGCTGGATCTTGGACTATTGCTGAAGTTTTAGTTTAGTGGGGTAGATGCTGCATCCTGCACTGGGGCAGTGGAGACAATATCCTTATGATAAAGTGAAGAGGGCTTAGAAAGCTTCTAAGAAGCGGTGCTTGGCTGCAGTATGGAGCTGGCAGCCTCCAGGGGACAGGTAATGCTCTGGGGCATGAGTGAGGTATGGGAAGTGGTGAGATGAGGATTTTGTGCAAATCTCAGAAACTCCGAGAGTTTGGTCTAAGGTAGAACTTATCATAAAACAAAGATGAAGATGGATTGGTGATGTGCCAAAAGATACTGGCATAAATGTTCATTTCTCCATAGAAAGGCAGGATTATCTCCTCTTCTTCATGAGTTTAGTCTTAGTAGGGGAAAAAAAGTACTTTCAAGTATCGGTGTAGTATTTCTGCAGAAGTGAATATTATGTATAGAAAAAGCTTCAACAGATAATTGCGCTGATTCACCGCTCCGTATACAACTACTACTAACACCACACTGTGGGACCTTTCAGTGAGCAGGTGGGTGTGTGGCATTGCCCCAAGTTTTGCATATACAAAAAGTGGAACATGGTGCCCTTTGGCTCCGGTCGCTTTCTCCTGCACTCTCAGAAGCTGCGTGGGCCTTTCTGCATGCATGCTAGAGAAATACAATTTTATACTGGCAACTTATATTCTTCTAGACAGCCATAGAGCAAATAAATGCCTCCAGCTACAGCTCTGCTTTTTACCTTGCAGAGAGCAAATGTAGGCTGGTTAAATGGATCAAAGGAAAAATGTAGCTTGGCCACAAGAAAAATAAGTTCTATAATTGATTGGGTCAAGAGGAGTGCAGGGACACCTGCTTGGATGAAAATGGAATGGCATTCATAGCAGAGACAGGAAATCTGATCTTACACAGGCAACAGAGGAGCCTCCGAGATGCGAGTTGAAACTGAAGTTAGAAGAAAACATGAATAGCTTAAGCTGTGGAGGACCAGCCTTTGTATGCTCAGGGGCCATGCTCATTCCCAGGCAGGTAAACAGGCCAAACCATTATAGTTACATTTCCTGTGAATAGCAGCTTTCCTAGGAAACCCCACTCGATATAACCAAATTCTCTTGTTTCTCTGGCTGGCTTTCTTAGCTGACTCCTCTACCCACCTCCTCTTCCTCCTGGACTGATTTGTTGGCTATTGTTAGTTGAAACGAATGTGAATTTGCAAGGACATGTGAAGCAACAACAATAAAACCAGCCACATCCTCCTATAGATTAAAAATGCTGGAAATTATGGGTAAAAGTTGTAGTTTTCAGGGAAAGCTCTTACATCCTTTCAGCTGCATTCTGCAAAGGTAACAGAGCAATATATTCTTTACCCACTGCCCAGAGCACTGTTGCCAATATAAGGAAAAATCTAAAATCAGTTACTATGCCCATAATACTAAGTATGCCCTTTGTGTCCCTCTTCCCCATACTAATGTTTATACCTTTTCCTACAAGTGCTCAGATTCAGGTCCCCAATAGGATTCTCCTGGCAGGCAGAATCGACGCAGCTGCCTCTTGTAGTTACTCGTAAACAAGTTGTATCGCTCATAGGACACCGGCAGGTAAGCAGGGTGGTTATGTGTATGGTGAGTTATAGTCCCTGTTTATGACCTTGTGGGAGGACCACAGCCACCTGGAACAAAGTAGAGCAATTGGCTTTAATGTGTTCAAGAGATGGTGCAGAAAATCAGGACCCTCCCAACGGCGGGGTAGCGGTAGGGAAACCTCAGGGATGTGTTAGTCCCTAAGGTGTCAGGAACCTCAGATTTCATCTAAGAGGTAGCGGCTTTGCACAGTAATAAATTAGTAATGCAAGGGAGGGAGGAACCAGCTATACCTACCCCAGCTTGTAAATTGCACAAGTAAAAAAAGAGAGGAAAGGATTCGCCCGTGCACATTATTAATTACCCGCACGTATGTGTGGGAGGACAACATGAGTCACTAAACCTACAGTTAATTAGTTGTATAATGTATTTGAGTGTGAATATGTATGTATGTACCTATATAGAGAACTCTCTCTAAGTATATAAATATACATGGTTAGCTATGGCTGAATGTTACACTTTATTTAGAACTTCAAAATGGATTTTTTTTTTCTAACTAGGATTTTAATGAGCTCACAGAAAATGCTCACTTTTCAGAAAGTCTGTGATTATTACAAGTTTTCTCTGAATTAATCTGCAGAAACTGATCTTGACCTCATTTTCCAGACCCCGAAAAAATGAAACTGAAGCAGTTGACAGCTACATACTAAATGACAACTTTGCACAATAATTTAGTAGTTAATTG